TTCACCCCGCAAAAGAAGTCTGGTGGAGACTAGTTTCTCATCAACTATCGTGAGGTGGTAACGTTACATGTATGAGTCTACATCTCGAGTAGTTCAAAGGCACTCAAAGCAATTTAAGGGTAGTAGAACTAGCCTGGGTACCATCCTACTTGTATGCCGGGGCTCCCACACTCGCTTCCCTAAGAAGGAAGCGAGTATGGCAGCCCCGGTATACAAGTAGGATGGTACCCAGGCTAAGTAGAACTGGATTTGCAGTCAGTTTTCGGGTCATTCTATCGATGTAGTAAGTTAAATCAACCCTATCCCAAAACATACTGATATCTGTGAGGCAAAAATATGATGTTGCTGACAGAAAACAGCTTTTCATATCGTTGGTTAGTTCTGAAAAATGGGACTCCTAACATAGCTTTTTCTTTGGCTACTTCAAATATACTTTAAAGTATGAAATGATGACAATATCAGACAGATTTCTTCATGCAGAAGATTTTTCTGTTTTGCCACCCAGAAATTACATATTGGATGCCTTCGAAGTAAAAATTCATAAGAAAACAGACCTCATCTCTGACTATATCTTAGGTTCAGAGTTTCCCTTCAGACACCATTTTCATTCAAAAATAGAAGATTAAAAAAGAAGAGAAGAATATGTAGCCTGGGAGCCAGACCCATAGCACACTAGCAAGTTATCCTCACTGAGATACTAGTGTCCAGTGTGCTATGGGTCTGGCATCCATTCCAGCCGCCTCCCGAAGCCTGGTAGAGGCTACTAGAAAACGCCTACAGTACATTGTACGTCCAAAGCAGGCTTCTAAATCTAATCTCTGATTAGAGATGATTAATCACCTTTTCAGGAGATAGCGATCACGGTACGGGGGGTCGCTTCGGTTGACGAGGCAACGACAACAAAAACAACAACAAAGTCGCTTTCTCTTTCTCGCAAAAAAGTCTAGGCAGGTAAACTAGTCTGGCTATAGCTAATCGAATCTCCAAGCAAACTAGTGACAAAGTCGCCACTAATCGACAAGACGCAACACTACAAAAAATGTTTTTTCTTGTTTCTTCTTCCACAAAGAAAAAAAATCTTCAGCGAAGTAAACTGTCCACGAATTAAGAAGGTTTTTCTCAGAATCTTTATTGTAGTTTTTTTCTTGTAGTAAGAATATCTTAACAACAGTCCTGAATATATGTACGTAACGCGGGCTTCACCTGTTACCCCAGTCTATCGTGGTTGGGGAACGTTGGATACAGGCGGCCAATGGATACAGGACTGGCCAATATAAAGTCCCCCTGCCCCACCGAATCTGCTTGGAGATTAGGAGTTCTACAATAGTCTTTGCTTACTAAGCAATTCTGGGTTCAGTTACACAAGAAGGGGTTAACGCTCTAGAGGACGGTGACAGGTTGTTTCGGACGGTAGACAGGTCCTCAGTAGATTGGGAATTCCGCCTTGGTGATCTTCAAAAGAGTTGGATTACTTGTGTGAAAGATTGGGTTACTCTACAGAGGAAGTAGTGCCCTCCAGGACGGTGACAGGTTGTCAACGGCAGGCGATAGTGGCGGGAATTTCACATGACGTCAGATCATTGACTCTATTTTTGCCGAATGCTAGCCTCTACCAGGCTTCGGAAGCGGCTGGAAAGAGTAGAGTTTGGCAAAATGGACAGATAACATGGCAGGGGCCAATAGCCCCAATCCGCATCAGGAGGCGGCTGGAAAGAGCAAAGCTTTCTAGCGGACCAACTCCCTCGGCATATTTGGCCAATTCTACTTGTCAAGTCCAACCGTTTCCCGAAGCCTGGTTGAATGTCCTAAGTATTTACAATACAGAGCGAACTTTCTTGACAATCTCACATACTTATTTGGACACCTGTTTGATCTAGATCTACACAACATCTCTGACAATGCTAAACTCTCCCTTGTACTTGTAGATATAGACGTAGGCAGTCTAATATATATCTCAGTTCTCTTAACTTAGTGCATTTGGCCCATGTAGGGCGTGAATATGCAATAAAGTTCGCTATGATTATCATGTCAACGTCCTCCAGAGTGTTACCCCCTCTTGCGTAACCGAAAGTAATTGAAGACATAAATACTTTTGAGGCTCCTTATCTCTTCAAAGGAGCTCAAATCTCTCTCCGGATAATTCCGAAAATCTAATCTCCTGTTTGCCTATAGAGGCCGAGCCCTGAAGATCCTCCACACTAAATCATGTAACCCTGTTTGTTGAACTGTGAGTTATTCTGCTCACAGACTCGAGTGGAATGTATCCGTCTTGCCGCAGGGATTCCAAGGTCACACATATCTGTCTTGACCGTGTAGGTCGTCCTTAGATGACCCTGTCTACGCTGAAAAGCTGCCCATATATATCTGCCAGTGAGGAATTTGTGATGTGGGCAAAAAGATTACCGGGAAAATCCTAACCTCCACCAGGCCTTCCTACAATGTCCTGAGGGGTTACGTGTAATATAATTCGGCATAGATAGTAGTAGCCTCCATCAGGCCTTCCCAAGGGGTTATGGATAGTAGAATTCGGTCCAAATATTAGTCGGCAAAAATAGTCTAGCTTCCACAAGGCATTCCAAAAGCTTATGGATAGTAGAATTTGGCAAAAAAATATATTAGCCTCCATCAGGCCTTTCCAAGGAGCTATGGATAGTAGAGTTTGGCAGGAATAGTAGCCTCCATCAGGCCTTCCTACGTTATGGATAGTAGAATTTGGCAGAAATAGTAGCCTCTACCAGGCCTTCCAAAAGGGTTATGGATAGTAGAATTCAGCAAAAATATAAGGGACTGAGCCGCGATAACAAGGGTAAAATTTCCCCTTGCACGAGCAAGTGAACTCCATGAGGCCAAACTCCCCTGGCAAATTATTCTCTATTATTCTCATTAGGCTAAACTATAGCCTTGTTCATGTGAAGTCACCCAAACCGCGATTCGGGTAACTCGCATTCCTCACATCTGTGAAACGGACACATTATTTGACCATCACTGCTCTTTAAGTTGCTTCTACGTAAAAGTTGGTATTGCATATAAATAAAGAAATATCACCCCGTAATCCATGACCAGGCGAAGTTACATTGAAATCACATTGCGTTCAAACGCAAATCGCGATGCGGGAAAACCGATTCGAAACCACCTCTAGAAGTGGTTTGGGATCGAGGCGCTTTAAATGTGATTTGGAGCGTTCAGATGGAGCCACTTGAAACCGGCTTCGGGGCAAACCACATGTAAAGCGCCTTGGGTGACTTCACATAAACACGGCCTATGTTTCAACTCGTGACTCTGACTAACGAGCAGGTGGTTCTAATCTCGGTGTTCTAATTGGCTTTTGGAACTCACCGCCGAATATTTTTGTCGAGTCAAGTTCGGTACTTGTCATTTGAAGGAGGAGTCTGGTACATGTAATTTACTCTACATCTTCATCAAGGCACTTCTGTTGTCAGAAAGAGTTCTCTCCTGGAATACTGATTTGACTGCAGTATCGTATATCCAGAACCGTGCCTATCTAGTTCTATGACCTGCCACTAGGTTTAAGGGTTAGGATCAGGCACAGTTCTGGATAGTCTCCGCGTATCCAGGAACATAGATTTGCCCCAGGTACGGTTCTGGATGAGCGTTAACTATCCAGAACAAACCACAGTTCTAAAAAAAAGTACGGTTCTGGATTCAACATCCAACACTACAGTTGTTGTCAGTCGCAGTCGTAGCTGTTTCGTGACTCAAGACTTTTATTGGTTTGCCGCAGTTAAAAACTAACTTCATTGTTATGATAATCGTCATGTTAAAATATCTAAGAGACAGGTGGGTAAAACACCTCCAGTTCTATACTCTACCAAGTGCCACAAAAATATCATTATGCGTAAAACTTTGCGGCTGAGCCACATCCTTATATCTGCTTGGAGATGAATAGAAGGCCCCAGTTCAGTTCAGTTCATGTACTAGGCCTCTATGCCGCCTTCCTTTTCAGAGATCAGAGCAACCAAAATTATGATGCCACACGGCACAAAAGTATGATTTAAAAGACACGAAAAACACACACTCAAAACCATAAAAAAGTCTTTGTCTGTGAGATTTATTGAGCGGTTTGACAAATATTCATTCCCTCAGCGGTATTACCTAGCCTACCTTGGCATCCAAACCTATAAGCTACTGAGTCCTTCCCGCAAATACCTATGTCATAGCCTGGCTAACCGACCGTTGTCTGTGGTAAAATTTCCTTGGGGGCATGTTAACTTTGGAGCCGAGGAGCTCGCCTGTGAAGGCCCTTAGAACAGTCTGATTTCCAGGCTAAGTGTTACCCGGCTAGACATAAGTCTAGCTCGTCGCAGATTCTCCACATCCCCGATGCGTGACTCGGGGATGCTCGTGACGTGACGCACGGCGTGTGGTACAGAATAGCTAAGTACGGGGGCAGCTGAGGTGAATGTTCGCAGACGACTTTATGAGGGCCTGGCGAGGGGGGGGGGGGTTGTAGTGATTACGAATTACGCAAATTTTTTGCCGCCTATTACGAATTACGTTATAGTCTCAGAGCTGATTACGACTTTACGATTTGCGGCTAATGTCCAATTACGAATTACGTTGATTTTTGCGGAGGCTGCCTACGAATTACGAAGTCTAAAACGGCCTGATTACGCCTTACGAAAAAGGGCATGCAGGCCCTCCTTTATCTCCATGGCGACGGTCCTATATTAACCGTTGGGCGGGTTCGATTTTATAGCTAAGGACATGGATCTCTAATAGACCCATGGGGCTGCTGAATAGACAGGAGAAATTGGCTAAATAGGGAGACTATTTTGTCAGGGGCGTTAGCC